GTGTGGTTTCTCTAAGAAACCTAAAATAAAAATAAGAGTAAAGTAAAAAATAAATAACAGGGAGTAGGGAAATAGATCTTTCCCAAAGTGGAAGGGGATCAAGAGATGGAGTGAGAGGGGAAGAGAGGAAAAAAAGGGGATTAAAAAAAGGAATTAAGTTGTGTTATGTACATGTTCCAACTCCACATAAAGAATATAAACATTATGTATTACAAATTTATTTTTTAAAAAAAGAGGCTCAAGAGATGGATGAAGGGGAGAGGGAGAGAAGGGTAAGGGAACAAGAAAAGGAAATAAGATGCATTATGTACATGTATCAGTTCCTCACAAGAAATGTAAACATGTACTAATAAAAAGCAAGGGCAGGGGATTTAGCTCAGTGGTGCCACCACCTGCCTTGCAAGCACAAGGTTCCAAGTTTGATCCTTGGTACCCAAAACAAAACAAAACAATTATATGAGTGGCTTTTATCAGATTAAAGTAAGGTCCTTCAATGACTATTTTATTCAGTTTTTATAAAGAATGGATGTTGGATTTTGTCAAAGGCTTTTTGTGTTATCTGTTTATTGATAGAATCATATGAATTTTGCCCTTGCTTCTGTTTATGTGATATATTACATATTTTGTGTATATTGAACCATCCTTGCATCCAAGGAAGAAAGCATACTCGATCACAATGTATGATCTTCTTGATGATTTGTTGCATTCTCTTTGCTAATATCTTGTTATGAAATTTTACATCTATGTTCATTAAAGAGATTGGCTTGCAATTCTCTCTTTTTTTTTTTATTGAATCCCCATCTGTTTTTAGATATGAGATAATGCTAACTTCCAGGAATGACTTTGGAAGTACATTTTTCCTTTCCAATTCATTAAAGAATTTCAGGAGTACATTATTGATATTAGACCTTTCCTGAAGTTCTTGTAGAATCTGGCAGTGAATCTGTTAGGAATTGGGTTTTTCTTAGTTGGTAAGTTGTTTATTATTATTATTATTATTATTATTATTATTATTACTTCAGTTTCACTGCCTGTTACTGGATTACTCAGGTTCTAAATATCTTCTTGGTTCAGTTTTGATAATTTATTTATATCTATCAATTTCTTCTAAATTCTCCAATTTATTGGACAGGTTTGCAAAGTACCAATAATCTTCTAGATTTCAAGAGTGTCCATTATGATTTCACCTTTTTCATTTTTAATTGCATTGATTTGGGTCTTGGCTAAGGGTTTATTTTGGGTATCCTTTCAAAGAACCACCTCTTCCATTCACTGATATTATTTATTTGTATCATGTTTTTACTCCCATAATACTGATTTCTACTGTCATCTTTATAATTTCCTTTCCTAGCTCTGGATTTGAATTATTCTTGTTTTTCTAGGGCACTGAGGTACATGACTAAGTCAATTATTGGGGCTTACTGTTTTTCTTTTTTTCTTTTTCTTTTTTTGATACTGGGGATCGAACTCAGGTCCTTGTGCTTGCAAGGCAGGCGCCAGAACCACTTAGCTAAATCCCCAGCCCTTACTCTGCTTTTCTAATGTGGGCATTCAAAGCTATAAACTTCTACCTTAGGATTGCTTTTATTATGTCCCATGAGCTCTGATATATTATACTGGCATTATTATTTAATTCTAGGAAACCGACCCATTGATTATTCAAGAGTATATTGTTTAAATTCTATGTATTTGCGTAACTTCTATGGTTTCTTTTGCCATTGATTTCTAGTTTTGCTGCATTATAATCTGATAATATGAATGGCATGATTATTTTGTATTTATTCATTTTCATTTTTGGCTAGTATGTTGTCTATTTTGGAAAAAGCTCCATGTGCCACTGAGAAAAAGGTTTATTGTATTTTTGTTGGGTGGAACGCTCTGTGGGTATCTACTAATTTGTTCAAACGTTTGGGTTAAACTATAACTGCCTTGGTGTTAGTGAACCTTTTATGTCCACTAGTGTTTTTATTCTCTGAAGTTAGGTTTGCCATTGTTCAGTGCATATATGTTTATAATTATTATCTCTGTTGAATTGCTCCTTTAACTAATATGTAGTATTCTTCTTTGCCTCTTTTGATCAGTTTTTACTTAAAGCCCACTTTGTCTGAAAATAGAATAGCTACTCTTGCTTGTTTTATTGTTCCCATCGCATAGAATATTGTTTTGCGTTCTTTTAGTCAATTAACTTCTTTTGGGGTTGTGTTTCTCGCATATTACTGGACTTTGTTTCTTGATCTATTCTGCCAGTCTGTGTCTTTTGACTAGGAAACTGAGACAATTCACATTGAGAGTTATTAGTGAAAGGTGTTGACTCATTCCAGCCACTACATTATTTTTCTCTTGCTGATTTCTTTCCTTTGCCTTTTACTTAACTGCTTCACCCTACCTGGTATATTCATTCTATGGGACCTTCTGGCATTATCTCCTTCCAGGATATTCCTAAGTGCCGGGTTGGTGGTCATGAATTTCATTATTGCTCTTCGTCATGGAAGTATCTTATTTCTCCATCAATTCTGAAAAACAGTTTTGCAGGATATATTCGTCTGAGTTGGGACATGCTCCTTTTTCGCTAATCCTACTTATCAATTCCTTCCTTTAGCCCTTTATCTGAATTTTCCTTCAAATTAAAATTTATGTTCTTTCCTTCCATTGCTCAATTTTTTTTTTTTTTTTTTTACTTTTTGTGTTCCTTCTATTCTTTCAATCTAGGAAAAATGCAAATACGTGTTTGTCATGTTAGTTTTTTGTTTGTTTGTTATCTTACTGAGTTTATTGGTACATTTTAGGTATACAGTACAGTTACATTCATCATCAGGATCTTGTACCTTTACATGACAGGTCTTGGTTCTCATTTTTTCCCCTTGCCCCTGCCCTCCCTTCACCCCTCCTCCCTCCCCTATTCACAAAGACTTTGTTTCCATTTTTTCTTTTCCCTTATTTCCTTTCTCCTACCCTTCCCACTTCCCCTACACCTTTAGCCCTTTTCTTCCTATTTTACATTATCAGTTATACAGTTTGGATCTTATTTACACTTTTAGTTTTTCACACCAGAAAAACTATTCAGTATTTATATGTGTGTCTTATTTATTTCACTTGAGTATAGCCTCAATATGCAACCATTTTCCTATGAATGACTAGTTTTTCATTCTTCGTGGCTGACTAGTATTCCATTTTATAGAAAAACCACATCTTTATCCAGTCTCCAACTGATAGGCAATTGGGCTGTTTCCAAGTTTTAGCTATTACAAACTGTGCCGCTGTGAACATGGGTGCACGTATATCACTGTGGTGTGATTCTTTTAATTCTTTTGGAAAGATACCCAGCAGAGGGATGGCTGGGTCAAGTGGGACCTCTGATCCTAGTTCTTTGAGGTATCTCCATATTGATTTCCACAGTGGTTGCACCAGTCTGCACTCCCAGCAACAATGGAGAAGGGTTCCTTTCTCCCAACAACCCCACCAACATTTGTTAATGGTTGATTTCTTGATAGCAGCCATTCTTTCTGGGGTGAGGTGGAATCTCAGTGTTGTTTTCATCTTCTTAGCATTTTTTTTTAAAAAACAAAGGAATCATAAAATACAGTGAATGCAATACCACCAGTCAGACTGATAGACATAACTGTGAGCAGAAGCTGTATGACTGATGTAATTCTAAGCAACTATTCAGAACCACGTGTGTACTAAATGAAGCCTGACAGGCATCAGCAAGTCTTGAGCAGTGGTAGCAGGACAGTGTTGTAACAGAAAAGAACAGCTAGCATGGAGGCAGGCAGATGCGGCCCAGCCTTACCACATCCTCCATCCTCCATGTCCTCTTCTAGAGGAAGCAGAAACAGATGGGGGGAAGGCAGGAAGTCATCAGTTATGGACTCATACCACAGATAAGGATTGGGCAATGTGAGTAGCAGTGGTCAAGTGGCACTGTGTCAGGAGCAATTCTAAATAATTTTGGGGAAAAATTATTTCACAACTGAAATTATGATTAGGACTAGTTTTCCTGCCTACAGGCCAGCTATTGCTTGTTGAGACAACTCCATTTTCACCTTTGGTCACAGCCAAAACCTCAATGGTTCAGTGATGCTGTGATGCTCCAGGGCACGATTACATCAGCTGAAGACATCCTGGGGAGGAATACATAGTTCCTCACCATTCTAGGATTATCATCCGGGCTGCACTCTGAGTCACCAGTTACATTTGTTACTCCCGATGTACTGAATAAATGTGTGGCAAGCTTGGGGTCTTTCATCTTTGTTGCCCAGAGCAGAATTGATCAGGTCCAAAGCCCAGCTGCTCTAAGTCTAATTTTTCTGTCTTTCCTGTCTAATTATAATTTGCCATGTGCTATTGTGGCTCCCAGAAGACTAGGACTTACTGCAGAGGTTCTAGTAATGCCCCCTGTCCTTGTTCCCTATGGCACCAGGTACAAATCTGAGCGCACACTAGTATCGGTATCACCTTCAGGACACAAAAGGAAGACTGCTATTCTCTGGATGCTTCTGAATTTTGAACTCAGTACAGAATAGATTCTGAGACAGGCAGAGAATACTTGTAGAGGAATATATAAAGGAGAGATTTTTTTTTTCAAAGTACAGCAACTGCTAGAAAGAAATGGAGTACATATTTTTAATTATCAAAAAGTGGCCTTTTAAAACTGCTCAACATTAGGTCTTAGTATGGCAAAATTCATCCTAAGGGGCCAGGGATTTGGCCCAGTGGTTCTACCGCTTGCCTTGCAAGCACAAGGACCCGAGTTCGATCCCCAGTACCACAAAAAATTCATGCTAAGGACCAGAATAATTTGGAATTCATACTCAAGCAAAACTGCAATCTCTTGGACAACTTTACATTCAGCAAGATAATGTTAACAGAGGGGGTATGCTTGAAAAAGTTTTAAAAATAACATAGAACTAGACAAAAAAAAAAAAGAAAGAAAAGAAAGGGCAGTAACTTTAATTATCAATTTAATTGAAAGCAGTGTAGAGCAAGATTTACTCTCTTACCTGTATCCAGGAGTTAAGTTTTGAGTCCTCAGAATTCTGTGGTTCTTTGTTAATCAGGCAACATAAGCACCATATCAGAAATTTTTGGCTTTCATCTGTAAAAGGAAAACTAAAATGTGTGGGGTTTATCTAATAGAAAAAAAAGCAGATAATCTGTATAAAACTTTTAAAAACATATTTAAGGAAAAAATCTCAAACTACTAAGTTCACAGAGCAAGCATCCAGGACCATGTGTGAACTTAACTTTGTGGGTTTTCTCTTCTTGTGGGTTCAGGATCACTTACACTCAAGCCCTTGTGTGGCCAACTCCTTTTTTGTAACAGAAGCAGTTTTTAAAGCCAAAGGAGAATTATGGAAAGAAATGAAAGAACTTGGTTTTCTCAAGATCAGTATTTTTATTTCACATTTCAAACCATTAGTAATTTCAACCTTTTTAAGGCAATATGACTGCTACAGACATGTCAGTAGTCAATATTTTCAATTTAATCTTTCAATTTTCTAATTTGTCTAAATATCCTTGCTTGTTAAAAACAGATTTAACAAAAAAGGATTGTCTGAAATATAATTGTGCTTAGTACCTAAAAATATAAATAAAAATATGAAATAGAAGCCTTTTAAATGCTCATAAAATTTAAAACTTAAACAAATCCATAATGAAAATACTGTATATTTGGTGGGAACACTTACTTGAGGAACTACTTTCTTTTCCTGTTTGTGATGAATGCACCCACTCCATGTGGAGATTTTGTAACATAAGTAAGAACAAAACTTAGGCCTAAAAACTGAAGATGTCAGTACCTGACTTTGGAACAAAGCAGCTTCGGATGTCAAAACAAAGCCACTGAGGTGAGGATTAGCTACCCAGCACCTGGACTGAGGCTCTGTAGACTCACGTGACACACTAACTCCCTCTTTCTACAATATAATAAACAGTGATTGCAAAGGCTTTCTTAACACTGAGGACAATATAAACTATAGTAAACTACCACTGTATTCTCACCCATAAAGCAAAGCACACAGTAATTTTTAAACCCATTTCCTTCCATCAGCAACTATAAGCTTATGCTTTGCCAATAAGAAATATCTGAACAAACATATCAGCTTAGCTCTATGTTTTAATAAACTTTTGGTCATCATGTATGAGGTGTGAAACCAGTTCTGAGCCATAAACATGAGTTTTTCAAATAGCACAGTGATTGCATATAAAAATGAGCATTCATGAAATGTGTTTAATCATGGGGGTGTATAAGTGTACGTGTATTTATCCGTACGTGTAGAAATAAACATCTGCACATACACGTGTATTTCTGGGCAAAGATGTTTAAGAAACGCTGGCTTAGCTGGGATATATAAAGTGTGGCCCGGTGGGCAAATAGGGATGGCTCATTCATTTTGCCATTTTAGACCAAGACCTTGAACAAGGTTAGGGACAAGGAAAGATGGAGCATAGTGGGGAGCAGGGACAGATGAAGGCAGGGAGGAGTAAGTGACTCCAACTATGCAGTGCATCCAGACAAATGTATTCATAGGCCCAAATGTGAGTGTTTTCCCTTTCCTACCTAATTCAAGGCTCTTATGACAGACTAGAAAAGAGAAATTTCATAACTCTTTAAAAAGTCAAAAGGGAATATTCATTTTATTATGGTTTCCAATGTCATTAATTATGCAAATAATCTTTGACTTTAAAGAATTTGGAAATGTTACCTCAGCTAATGATACACTCAATCCAAGCCTCACATTTCAAATGTGCTCCTCCACAAGTGACTGTGCAACCCGTGACAGGGCCCAGGATGACAGAAAACAGCCAGAGCTCCTGCTCTCTAGAGGCTTCAGTCTCCCAGGGCATCAGACAGTGGAAAGAGAGATTCTGGAGGCTGCGGGGATGCTAGGAGAGGTCCCTAACTCAACCCTAGGAAGACCTTACATTACAAAAGGAGAACAGAGGGAAAAGGAATGGATGTCAGGAGTCCAGGCTCCCAACAGCAAGTGCCTTTAGGCACTGTCAGTAACAAGACCCAGTCGCAATACTTGTGGTATGGTTACGGGGAGAAAAAAAAGGAAATGAAGCTGCACAGCTGGACAGATAGGCACAGTAAGTCAGCAAAGGAATATCTCCCCAAAGTGTCCCCCAATTCTCCTAATCTTGGATAAAACTAGAATGTCATCCCTATGTCACCCCTAAATAATGGCAAAGCCAAAAAGAATCAAGACTCTGAAGAATGATTTTATGACACGGGAACTGTGAGTTAATATGACACTGTAAAACAAATGAAGTTGGTGTCATTAGTACATTCACTTTATAATGAGCTAAAAGTGAGGAGGCAAAAGAGGCTACCAAAAAAAAAGTATTATATAAATAATCTGGGAGTTTCTACCTTCTAAAATAAGAAGCCCTATTTTCCTATAGGTGCGTGTGTGCATGGGTGTGTGTGAGTGTGTGTACGTTGAGAGGACATATCTTGGATTCTTACCATATGCTAATATAAAAGGATTTGAACAAGTTTTTGCCAACAGCTGACCAATTGTGGGGAATCTTTCCATGACTGTATTACAATCCTGTAAAGGAAAATTACATCTTGGTCAGTAAAAAACAACAGGCATCTCAAAAAGCCTAACAGATACTACAGGAGCTTGAACGATCCTTCAAAACTATAGTTCAGAAAAATAGCCCCCCCAACAGAAAAAGATTAGAGAAAATTTTTAGGTAAGAAATCCAAATAAATTTTAACAAACAACCAAACTTCACCCTTAAGCCAGGTCATCAAAACTAAGATGTATGACATGATTAGGTAAAATCAATTTTATTACAAAATTATTTTATGTTACTAATATTTAATAGTCAGGAAAGACTACTTTACTTAAATATAACACAGACTGCATAAGAGTAAAAAAAATCACTAACAATTAATAATCCTATATAATCCTGTGTTTTTATTCTAGCATAATAAGCCATTTCTAACCAAACTCCAGGAAGGTTCTTTTCAAAAGGATTTAAAAGGACAAGAATGCTGGAACTTGTAAAAAGAAATAAAAGCATACAAAGCATCAAGATACATATCTTTGTTTATTACTATATTGATCACTATATGCTAAATGACATCATACTTAATCTATAAGCTAAACCCTGGGACAAATACACACACAAAAAGATCAAACAAATAGAAAACAGTTTAAGATTAAAAAAAAAAATGCTGTTGTACAATTTGCCCTTTCCCCACTTCTTTACCTTTCACAAAAGTTCAAAAATAAGATCCAACTGAGATAAAGGGCAGTTCAGCTGAAACAATAAGCATTTCCTGCTACTGTGGGAATAAACTCCTCACACTTGTCTCTCAACAAGGCTATTCCTAGACTTTCTGGGACCACACTAAGGTCTTGTTACATAAGTCTTATGACATAGAACAAATGTAAAAATTAGCATTGGTTGTTCTCACAGACAATATCTTTACTTCCAATTTTGAAAGACATGTAAACTCATCAACAGAATTTATTCTTCAAATTTCCTTTTTGATTCGATTAACAGAAGAGAAGGATAACATGAGAATACCTACATTAAGTGAGAAACCAGCTTTTCGTTTTGAAATTTTAAAATAGATATGAAACAAATAATATGTTCTTTTATGAAAATATGTCATAAAAACATCTATTATGAAAGTAAGCACTATTACATCAAAAGAAAAATACATACATTTTTGTACACAATAGATTATATAATACTGGTAAAGACATTCAAAATCTTAATATTCACCAAAAATATCACTTGAAATATTTATTTGAAAGATCTTAGTATCTTAATTGTTAGATCTCAATATAAGAATAGATCATATTATGTCTTAGGAAAGCTCACTTGAGAACAGTCAAGAATTTCAGTCAGCTTTTCAAGATCTGAGGAACACAAAGGCCTTGGAAAGAATCACATTTATTACCTGAAAACAAGTATCAAAGTTTTATTTGTTTAAAAACAATATGTTCATACTAGGGGTGTAGCTCAATGGTACAGCACTTGTCTATACATTCTCAAGGCCCTAGAATCAATCTCCTGCACCATAAATAAATAAAAAAGCAAGAATAATTTTAAAATATATTTAAATAAAAATAAAAACAACTTGCTGGGTCATGAAGTCTCATGTGACAATACAACTTGCCAAGAAGAAAGACTTATGTCATAATAAATCAGAAAGTAGGAAACCAGTTCTTGTCTGTAGCAGTATGTCTTTATAATTGAATATCTTAAGTTCATAGCACAAACATCCTGGCTCCGTGAAATCTGGTGGAGTCTCTGATGGCACAAAATAATCTCATTATTTTAGTCTATGACTATACTTACCATCTCTTGCAAGGCTTCATACATCTGCCTCAGGAACTCCTGGAACTGAGGGAGGTGCAGACAGATGTCCTTCTGGGTTTCCAAAGTAGAAGCCTGGTACCATGCGGAAAGCTTCTGCAGCCAATACTGGCAGTCAGAAGCAAGGCCTATGAAATCTTGAGCCATCTTGAAAAAAGGGAAAAGGTGATGTCCTTGCATAGCAGGCTGCTAAGCATCGAAGGAAATGGGGAGCACACATCAAATCTGTAAGAAAAGAAACCAACGAAGCATTTTAGAAAGGATCTTCCTACCCCTAAGATCATGCCTTCATGGCCCACTGAGGTTGAAGGTGGATTCTAAGGGACTAAAAGCACCTGCCTTGTATGCCGGAGTCATATTTGAAACATTTCTAAATGTGTCACCCAGCTGTAGCTCTGGTTTATCCACGTGAGCTTTTTATCAAGAATAGTATCATTAGATTAGAAGTCATTATACTTCCACAGGCACAGACTAATTATATACAAAAATCACAATTGATAATATTTTATATCTTCTTTTTAAGATTGAGCTATTTTTAAATGTTCTGAAAATGAAGTTCCTTTGAGTACTGCATTTTAATGTAATGGGAAATCAAAAACATCCATGAGCATTTAATAGTAATCTGTGCCTAAAAAATATTTTTGATGTTCTTATGTTTTATATGCATTTCTGGCTTCTCATTTAGGTGCAAAAAAACCACCCTTTATTCATTACTGTCTAATAAATTTTCTTTCCAATTTCTCATTTCTTAGAAAATGGTAAAAAAAAATTAATTTCACATGCATCAATTTTAACAGTCTGCTTAATTAAATGCTGCTTTACATACATGATCTCATTTTGTCCACAAGAGGCCATATTTTAGTAAAGTGTAATACATTCCAATTATTAAGGAGGTGTACTAGTCTTAAGTAATGGAAAATAAAATCTCTTAAGCCTGACTTCCTACCCTTAAGTCCATGTTCAACAGCACAGTGGGGATTCACAAGAGTAGTTCAGGGGGAGTGGGCCAGTGGACTCCCTGGTGCCCCTCCATGCCCTGGGGGAAGCAGCGGAAGCAGGGGGTCCAGGAAGGGAGGCCCCTTCCTAACAGGTGCAGGCTTTCACAGACTCCTGGTTCCCTGGGGCTGGATGACACTCTAAGACCTCATTTCAACAGAATGTGCTGTGAGGGTTAAATCATTGAGCTTAAATCCTTCTCAGTAGTAATAATTAACTGATAAAATGCTACTAAATAACAAAAATATTGAGAAAGAAAGTTCCCATTACTAAACAGGAAAAAAAGAAATTTAAGAAGGCTGTACAATTTGGCTGTAGTGCAAAACATGTAGACTAGGAAGACAAGTTTTAAAGCGGTACTTAACAATTTACAGTTTTTAAAAGTAATCAAAATTTTTAAAAAGGGTTAATAGTAAAGGAAATATATGCATACTGTCAAAATGTCACTTATGTGATCAAAATGTATGGAGAGGGCTGGGGATTTAGCTCAGTGGTTCTCCCGCCTGCCTGCCTTGCAAGCACAACGTTCAGAGTTCGATCCCCAGTACCAAAAAACAAAACAAAACAAAACAACCATATATGTGTGTGTGTGTGTGTGTGTGTGTGTATGGTGAATGTTTAAATTTTAAAATTATTACTGTAAAAGACACATTTCCATTCATTCCCCCTCATTTCAAATACACTTACTAATTATTATTGTCATTTTCTGGAGTAGTTCTTGATATTGTCTTTCTAAGTGTGATCAAACATAGAATGACTGCTGCTCTGTGCAATCCTACAGAAAAGCAGTCTCAGGCCAGGGACTTAGCTCAACTGGCCCCATGCCTGCCTTGGAAGTGCAAGGTCCTGAGTTGAATTATCTGGTATCAAAAACAAAACAAAACAAAACAAAACAAGGAGTGGGGGAGAAGAGGGAGAGAGAGAGAGAGAAGCAGGCTCCTACAAATATTACAATGTTTCCTCATCCTTCTCATTCACTGGATCTGGCACCATGTGACTCCTGCTTCTTCTCCAAAGTCAAAATAACCATGAAAGATAAATGTTTGGGTCAATTCCGGACACCCAAGTAACCATGATGTGAATCTAAAGACACTCATAAAGAGGGTTTGCAGAACTGCTTCAGAAAGTGGCAAGAACAATGGGATGTGTTCCAAGCGAGTGGGAAGATTTTGAGGGGGATTAATTACAATGTATCTTTTATTGCAATAAATTAAAAATAATCTAAACATTCACCATATTTATCGTACCATATACTACTCAAAACTCCATGTATTAGCCCTGACTGTTTATCTCTCATTGTCCTCCTCATCCAAGCCATCACCAATGCCTGTCAGTACTACTTTCAAAATAAATACACGTGATCTGACATGATTCTATCCACTTTTTTTTAAATTTTATTGAGTTTATTGGTACATTTTAGGGATACAGTACAGTTACATTCATTGTTGGGATCATGTACCTTTACATGGCAAGTCTTGATTCTCATTTTTTCCCCTTACCTCTGCCCTCCCTTCACCCCCTCCTCCCCTCCCCATCTACAAACACTTTATTTTCATCTTTTCATTCTCTCACATTTTTTTCTTTTCCCTTTT